TACCTGGGATCAATATCTTCCCTACGCCTTTTTCGTGTACAACTCGACTGAACATAGTAGTACTAATTATCAGCCATACGCACTACTTTACGGTAGGACGTTGGAAGTACCAATAAAATTAAAAAATTCCCCAGAACCGCGTTATAATTGCGATGATTATTATTATGACTTAAAAGAAAAATTACAGGAATCACATGCAATCACAAGGGAAAAACTAATAAAACGAAAAATCAAATCGAAGGAGCGATATGACGTAACAGAGAATCCGATTGATATACACGTAGAGGACCAAATATTGTTAAAAGATTTCGCACGAAGGGGAAAACTGACACCCTTATGGATAGGACCTTATTTAGTCACTGAAGTACTAAACAAAGAAAACATAAAAATACAAAGGGGACGTAGATTCGTTGTAATTCATAAAAATAATGTAAAGAAGTTTTATGAAACCCACTAAAATATACAAATATTGTAATCAACTCAAATATAGGAAATAAAACTTGCGAAATAATTTATAAAAAAAAAAGAAGGGATGAAACAAACCTATACATGTGAATATATATATATATATATGTAACGTGTGAGAAAGACAATATAATACTCACACGATAGAGTTAAAAAAAAATGTGTTTAAAATAATTAAAGATTATAATTAACCTTAGCAAGTAAGTTTTGAATATGTAAACAAAAACAAAAAAATGTGTGTTACTAACAATAGATTAGAAAATTTAAAGGATTCTATTTCCTTATATTGTAAATATAATCCTTTTTTTTGGTTGGGAGGTGTTGTAAGACACGTAATATTGTGTACGTGTCCACCTTCACATAATAAATGTTAAAGAGAAATCGTCACGTTTGTATAAGGAAATGTCCTTAGAAATTAAGTACGTTTTTAAAATGTAAATACAACTATTAACACAATAACCTACTCCAATAAAATATCGTTCCAAAATAATAATTCAAGAGTGCAACATCACATTTTCATGATGCAGCCCAGGGCGCGTACAGTTGGCCAATTATCAAATGTAGAAATCCGATGGCCACAGGATGTACGTGATGTCCGGGACGATTTCACCAAACAGCAGTGACCTAGCAGTCACAGGACTAGCATAAATACCAAAGGGCGAGAGACAAGAGACCAGTTAGATTCCACAGCTCAAGTCACCCACATATCACTATTGGAGATTCCACGGACTCTGTCCGTATGTACATTGCCTGACCGTTAAGACTTACGAGTTTATCGCTCCGAGCCCTCTGACGCATATAGGTGTGCACAAGGAATCTCCACTCCGCACATTTTATAACTTATCTATGTGATTTCTCTTGAACTTAAATAAATATCTATTTCATTTATCAACAATATTGTACGATTCATTTGAACACGAGGGTCGCAACAACAGCAACAAAATCACCTCGCGTCAAAAAAAAATAGAATTTACCATGGGAGATTTAACAAACTTCACAATAAGCCAAAATTTAAAAAATGTTGTTTTAAATCATTTTAATTTTGCAAATTTGGTTCTCACAAAATGTATTTACGTAACCAATATTTTAATAGAAATCATACAAATGGCAAAAATAGGACAAATACACCAAAACCTTACTTCACCAACTGAATTACTCGAACAACTTAGGCACATTAAAGTTTCACTACCACCAGGAACGAAATTACCAATAGAACATAAATAAATAATAAATAAACAATAAATTTATGTATTAATATATTATAAAAAAAAAAAATATTAATAATAAATATAAGGGAATGGTAAATAATAGATAAGAATACTAAATATTCATATAAAAAAAATGTAAAACATACTATTAAGAATATTAATTAACACTAATTAATTAAACACTAAATAATATATATATATAAACAATAATGTTATTTTCCATCTTACTTAAAATAAATCAAAATGATTATGAATTTCAACATTGTTTAAACATTCACATTATTTTATTTGATTAATCGGCGTTGGAAAATCAATACATTTAAATTTAAACCACATTTTATTTCTAACATTTCAGAATTGTGTTTACTAAATTTACTCTTATTTTAATGGTTATCGAATTTAGTTACAATTGCGTACATAAAATATTTATTATCGGTATTTTTCTCATTTATTACAGCTTTTTTTATTTAGAATAAATTTAGGTAAATATATGTATGAAGAACCTCTGAGAAGGTTAACTATATTTATTCTTAATTTTAATTCTTCTATTGATACAAGTGACTATCCAGAACTTTTAGAGATGAATTCAGATTCTTCTTCTAATATTTTGTTAAACATGCTATCTAATAGACTTTTGAAATTAGATGATTTACAAGCAAGCGTATTTTCGAGTCTTAAATGCTACAATCTGTATTTCATGTGTTAATAAACAGTACACGCTATCCACATATAAAATAAACTTTATCGTTGTTTTCAAACATGAATGTTTTAATTTAGAAGTTCACTGGTCTGAAATAGAATTAAAAAAGATTGTGAAGTGTGTAAACTCATAAATATTTCTTATAAAAAATGTTTTGAAGACTTTTTGAAGTGTTCTATTTCTACAAGACCAGCTTTAATTGTATTCATACGAGTTGTTTTTGAAATCCATGAAATTTTCACTAAAATTGTTTAAAAAAATTAAGTATTAATTTTAATGGTTTTCTGATAAAAATAAAAATAAATTAATTCAAAACAATTCAGATGCATAAAAGTATGTTTGTAAATACTTACATTTTTTTTTGACGGTGATAGAATAATTTTTTCCAGCAAAAATCTTCTTTTCACACGTTGTATAAAAGTATGCTTATAGGCAGGTGCTCTCCGCACAAGAAAAGTAACACAACTGTACACAAATTCCAGAGTTGTTCTACAGTCGGGGCAACGAAAAATGAATACTGGCTCCCGTAACCTGTTGTTGATACCCGTCACGGTTAAGCCCAATGATTCTCAACGTAGTACAGCCGCGCGCCGTACCTAATTGTATATTCGAAAAGTGAGCGGTGACCGTTTTCACCGCCAAGTAACTGAAGGTTGAATGTTGCTTTTTGTAAAATCGATGAGTACTACTTGTGAACTACCGTTCGGTGCACGACGGGCAGCGCTCATTTTTCGTTGCCCCGACTTATAGTACACATTACGTTTCTGACGATTTATGTTTTAAAGATTATTCACATAAAACAGGTTTACACAATAGCCATTAACTACAGTACAGGAGTGAGGTCGACTGTTAGCGTCGTCATGCCGTCACTATGCCTCCGTATGATTAGTCGGCTCAATTCACCTGAGGCGGCGATCTCCTCTCTCCACGCGCATACGCTCTCATCTATCAATTCACGTACTGCTGGGTGTGTTCTCAGCACAGGGCGGCAAATGTAAATGGTATTTAAAACTCGTTGGACAGAAAAACCATTTTACTAGGTATTATGTATTTTTAGAAAATTATGTATTTTAACTATGAATTTGGTGTTCGACAGTTCTAACCATCACGCCGAAAAGAGTTATGGTGCGTTTGCATTGTGGCGTGAACGCGAACACTTAATTTGATGCATGGAAAATCGAACCTTTTCATTTTGGTGGAAACGAAAATCAAGTTTTTTTGTGGAATCGATAACCGCCCTATTAACTAATGTGCTACTTAGTTATTTTTTTATAAATATTTTATCAACTATACATTAACCTTCTCTACACATCTTATTACAGTTATAACACAATAAACAATTATTTATCAGTTTAGTTAAACAAGTAATTTAAAATATTACAAATAATAAAATTTAAATTTACCTTCTATCTAAAATTACCTACTGATACTGTTTCAGCCACGGATATAGATACTATATATATATTAGGGTGGCCCTTATATCAGCGGTTCCCAAACTTTTATAATCACGGAACCCTTGGAAAATAGTTTGTGTTTCGCGGAACCCTAATGTCTTTAATTCCAATTCAACTCTAATTTTTTCTAGAAAAAAAGAAAAAAGAAAATCAATACTTTAAAAAATGTTTATAATGTTATTGTTAATATTGTTAACGATAACTCTTTATTAGAACTAGTTGAAAACACAATTTTTTTTTAAATAATACAAAATAATATTTTTTCCAAGTATAATATAAAATAAGTTTCTCAATAATCACATAAATCTGGCGGAACCCTTAGTATTGTCCCACGGAACCCTAAGGTTCCGCGGAACACACTTTGGGAAACGCTGCCTTATATAGTAGGGGGGTTAAAAAAGTTAAATATTTTTGATTTCTCACCCACCCAATTTTTTCATTACCATGCGAAAGTTATGAGGGTTAAATTTGGTGATGATTAATAACCCCTTTCAGATGCCGCAAGAGGGTAGAATATTCATCAAATAGGGTAGTTTTAGTATTATTCTGATTTAATTCATTATATATTACATTTAGTATAAAATTGTATGGAACCTAAATTGTAGATTTAGGTATTCTCTATAAAAAACATTCAGATAAAATTTCTCGTAAATCTATTATTTTCTGTGAAAAACTTAATCTTAAAAAAAATTCGTTCATCTACACAAGTACATATTAAATATTGATGTCATTAAAAATAAATAGGTAGTGGTCCAATGGAGTAATACAATGTGAAAATTAGATGCGTTATATTCAAATAAAATATCTATTAATTATGAACGAATTAATGTATTTTTTTTACAGTCAGGGTAATATTTTGTATAATCATTTACAACTTGTAGTAGAAATTGTTTTTGATTTTCGTCTTTCGTCAGTATACTATTGTATTCTTGAATTAACTTAACGCCTCTTTCTGCAACATCATTTATGACTGATAACTCTGTTAAAATATAAATTCCATTTTGAATCTAAGTTACTTTGACTTATTGCTGTTAAAATCACTTGATGACGCTTTGGGGAATTAAAAAAACAATACATTTTTTGAATAGTTCCTAAGCAATTTCGTACAGGTTGAATATTGCAAACAGATGACACAGCTAAATTCAACGTACGTGCAACATAATGCACATATAAAGCTTTTGGGTACTTATTTCTTATTATTGTTTGAACGCCTTTTATGTGCCCTGTCATATTTCATGCACCATCATACCCTTGTCCACAAATATTGTTACAATTAGTACCACATGAATTCAAGCCTTAAACAAAGTTAATACACAATTTAATAAATAACTGATACCCAAGCGATATGATTTGTAAAATCATGTCTATTTTTATGTAACATATTAATTACCATTTAAAATTGCTACAGCTAAGTTATCAGCCGTTAAACTTGTAACTTCTGTAAATTTTAAGAAATTTCATAAACATTTTTTTTCTTTCCCAGTACCAAAAAGATATCTAACACAAATAGTAAGTTGTTCTACAACAGAAATATCTGTTGTCTCATCTGCAAGAACACTAAAATAATGTGACTCGTTAACTTCTTTCACAACTTTTTTAAAATAATATCACCACAAGTGATTATAGTTTCATTTTGAATAGTTGGGCTAATATATTTATTTCGATAGCTTGATGAAAGAAAGTTTTTTAAATATTCTATGTCTTTTGCTTTATATTTCAGTATAGCTCGAAAATTCCCTTCATTCATCTCAGGTTCGCCTAGAAAAATAATGACAAAGAAATAAGGCCCAATAAGTTCAGGTTTGGGTTATGGCTCTTATTAAAAATAATTATTCCTTAGCTAAAATAAAATTGTATCCAAAATCTATAGTAGATAAAACATATTAGAGCTAATAGTATTATAGTATTTTAATACAATTTAAAAAAAAAACTTACCATCAAATGACAAAGCACCAAAGTCCCTATGACCCCTTAAAGCAATCTCTTGACGACCACATACCAAAATACAATCAATAATAGGAATTAAATTCTCTCGGTTTTCTTTAACTTTTTTTTGCTCTGAAATTATACAAATTTAGGTTCATTTATAATCAATAATATTTTAAAACTAAACATAAACTAAATTTGTAATAAAAAAATAATACAACTTTATAATAAAAATAGAATATTACAAAATATTTAATCTACCTGTCTATGTTTAATTTGTTTATATCTCAGGTTTCTTTGAAAATGCAATATTCAAAAAATAATCAGCTTTTTCTAAAGCTAGTTTATGATATTGATGTTTAGCATGATTATTTAAAGTCTAATATAATAAATAAAACATACATATTAAATATTTATAATAATATTAACAAATTTAAAATGTGTGATCATAACTTTATAGACATACTTCTAATGCTTTTTTTAAAGTTATCCATTGGTTTAATCACAAGTGTATATAATTTTTGACATCTAAATCCACCAGTTCTTGAAAAAATTAAATATACTTTACAAAAACCTTCTTGCCTTATCTCTGAATATGCTAACCACTTGAAAATGTTCAACCAATGGTGTTGAAATTTGAGATTCCTACCTTTATTTTTTTTCTATTATAGGAAATATATAAGTTTCTGATGGAACCTACACATCTATCAGAATCTATAAACAAATGTACTTTATAATTTTGTAAATTTAAAAAAAATGATTCATTTAAATATCAATAGTACAATACTATTTGTATATAGTTAAATAACTTACTAGGTTTTTATCAGTAAAACTCAAATCACAATTAACAAACAAACCAATATCATTTTCCCTTGCTAATGAACATGTTGTCTTAAAAAAAATTATAACATAATATTGTTTATAGAAACATTAGAAACCCATAAATCGGAGCCTTAAAGACTCTGATAAGTCAAATAGTCAAGCATACAATTTTTTTTACTCACCAAATTTACTGTGTCTGTTTGTTTTTGTTGACTTGGTGCAGGTTGTAGATCATTTAGATCTGAATCGACAGTTGATTTTATACTGTTATTGAAATATGAAAGTAGAGTATTATTTTTTCTTTTATTACTCATGTTTGATTACTATATAAAGTAATAACTAAATAACTAATATTATAAGTTATAACAATGTTATAGTTATCAACTTTATTGTTTAATAATTTTATTATTTTTATTCGCTGTCCCGTGTAGTCAGATGCTAGTTGGTTTGAATATATTGTAGATCATGTTTATAATCATACAGTAAAAGTTATATTTAAATCGTTTTCAATTTGACGTATTATTTGTATTCAGTGCGCACCGAGTACAATAAGTAATAACGTAAATTTGACCAAAATAGATTAATTGATGTAGTGTTTTATACTCGGTAATCGAAATGTTGCATTGACGTCTGACGGCACTGCTATTTTTTGTAAATGTGAGTACAATTATGAACTATGTTTCTCCACGAATCCATGATAGGTTCAATAAATTATCAATTATCCCGTGAATTTCTTTTTTTTTTTTTAGGTTTCAGATAAATAAATAGAATGTACTATGTATACGCGGTTAACTAAATCCGTAACGATAATGATCTCATTCTCTTTTCTCATAACAACGATAGTATCCGATAATATTTTAAACACGGACATTCAGTAGAAGCCCATTAGCCTAGGTTACATACACATTGTTATATACATAGTATTGTCTCTGTAAATTATAAGATAAGCTATAATAAATATACCAAAATACCAAATAAACATTACTTTGTTATAAATAAACGAAAATAAAATTATAATGGTTTTCAGTGTTGACTAAATTGTCAAAATTCAATAGCTCGATGGATTCACATCACAAAATATTTTTTTATAGTGCATACTATATAATATAAGAAAAAACAAAAAATAATTAAATAATAAAAAGCTAATGGAGGGGATTTGACCCCCACGTCGCCCCTTGTATACGCCACTGGTATACAATTTACTCGTACTATCATCTACGTCTATCACATCTAATTAGTTATTACCTGTATATATTTATGATTTCATTTTTAAAACAATAGTAATAATGAACATAAAATTAAATATATTATTTCATATACCAACGTGTTTTACATATTAATAAATAATACATTGATTTTTTATGTATAAAATAGCAATAAATAACTGATAGAAAATATATTTAAATTTTTAAAATAATACAAAATGTTTTTTTATTATTTGCCTGATATAAAATAGGCATTTAATTATATTCTTAGTCATTTAATTAAATTACTAGGTATTTAACTTTATATATATAAATGACTATATGCCTACGACATATACACTGGATTACGATATTTTATAACTTTTAAAAGCCACGTGAGTTATGCAATTAAGTATACTCGACGCATTTGTATAACCACAAAAGATAATTCAAAATAATTGTCACTCAAGTGACTTTTTCACGCCGAAAATAACCCAACAAATGTAGGACTTTTCTTTTTAATATCATCGACTTCCCTACTTAAATTTTTTGAAATAATTTTCCACTCTTCTTTTTTTTTGTTTTAGAAAAATAATAATAATTTTTTGGGTTCTATAGCACTGGGTGTTGTTGGTAATGTTAAATGAAATCTAGACACAATTCATTACTCCATTCCATTTCGAAAAATTTAAATGAAAATGAATAATAATGATTATTAAATAATTATGCACTAAACTTGTATAATCGTGGGCGCGGTCGCAACAATACTAAACATACTGCTGTCCATACTGAGTGTTACGTGCCAACCGTTCGATCTCATAATTCAGTTTCAACGTCTCAGTCAACGCTTGGTTGTAGGTGTAGTAAGGAATAATTAAGACTTTTTAAAATAATTAAATTTATTTAACTCATAAAATTATCCTAACTACAATTCTGTAAATATTCTAAGTAGAAATTATTTAAGTCCTAACAATTATAACTTATAAAAATAGTATGAAATATTTCTAAGTCCAGACCATAACATACACTGACGTGAAGGTGCTCAGTGCAGCATAGCCAAAACTCGTCTGAATAAGGCCTGTTCGGGACCCCCTTTTATATCTGATATACGCAAGTGTGTGTGTGTAAATCCCAAGTGTGTGTGTGTATATATTAATGATAATAAAATATGATAATTTCTTATTGATTCTGCATGCGTATGGTACATAATTACTGATGCAGGGATACAGGATGTGGTTACTGTCGTTTCGATTATTCATTTGTTATCTTAATTTCCCATATAATGTTTATGTGAACTAATTAAATAATTTAATTTATCCACAAGTATGGTTTTGATATTCATGAGAACCTCTTATAATGTGTGTTTTATACTATGTGACCACATGGGACGCGATATGAGCAGTAAATATGATAATTAGCACGACGCACAACGAACTTTCCGGCTTGCGTTCGCTGTACGTCAAAAACGAGCTCAATATACCGTCCTCACTAAGCAAATTAGTAGAACGCACAACATGAGCACCAGTGTTGCCAGGCGTACGAACATGTTCGTTTTAGTACGAACATTCAAACTACTGTACGAACTTAACATAAAACGAACATTCGTACGCCTAATTACGAACATTTTAATAAGATGAATGTATAAATTTAGATAATTTCATTTTTACTCAAAGAATCCAAAATATAACTTGATAATATTATCAACATCACAGTTTTAGTTATTAGATAATATTATAGTGACCCATTCGGCAAATTTTCAATTATTGTTGATATATCTATTTTTAGACATTGAAGTCAAAATTTCCAAAAAATAAATATCATTAGCTGATAAGTTCTTATTTATTGTATGAAATATCATTTTATCATTTTATTGAAAGTAACTAAAAATAGCAAGTAACAAGAATTAGTTTTAGGTTACCAATAAAAAATATGGGTGATTAGGTTCGTCATAAAATCGCCTGAAGCGTCTTGAATCGATTATATTATTATTTATTCTAAATCAAACGATCTCAGAAGTGCCGAACACTCATTACGCACCATGGCTTGTATTTTAATTTATTAATTGGATTTGCAATTTTTATCGTTGTGTTAAATATTTATAATATATAATAGCAATGGATCAATATATCATAAAAACATCAAAATCGTCAGCTAATCGATCTCCTGTAAAACATGTAAGTATATAACATATTCATTTGTTTATTATTTATCATAACTCAAGTAGGTAATATAAATGATTGATTATGGTAAACATTTTACATACAACATTTTATAGTTTAAACAATATAAATTAATACTTCTTTCATTAAAATTTATTTACCGACTGAGCGAAGCGAAGGGACATTTTTTACAGTACGAACAAAACGAACATTTTACGATAATTTTCTGAACATTCAATCTCTTTAACCTGGTAACACTGATGAGCACACATGCTTAGTTTGTGCGTGATCTAGTGTGCACGCGGTAGTGTTCTGCTCGGTCCGTAATTTTAGAGACTAAAAATGTTAAAAAAGAACTGAAGTCGGACCGAACCGATTTCTACTTTTAATTTTAGACCGGACCAGACTGAAAATTTAAAAGTGGACCGAGACCAGACCGCCGATCCGAACTAATAAATTTCGGTCTGTAAAAGCTTATGGACCGGACCGAACCGGACCGTGGATCTATTTTTTTTCTACCATACAAGACCCCAAGTATAACATAATATGATAGAGCGGACAAACGGTCCAAACTAAAAAAATATTGCACCATGAAAATAGACTATAGTAAATTTATATTTTAATATAGGTATATTAGGTATATATATTCTACACTATACTATACTCGTGTAAGTATTAATGTAATGTATTAAGTTATTTTTACAAAGCATTTTACGTGGAAATATCGAACTATTTGCTATCTGGTCTGGCTAATAGACTATTTTCCAAGTATTACCGTTTACCGGCATCATCGACAAGAATGGATAGAAATTAGAAGTGCACATTTCATTTTCAATCTCCATTTTCCCAAAATAATATATAGATAAACTATAGTTAATATAAATCAAGATAATAATGTGCGAGTATTTCATTGGCAGTTGTATACATCTATATATTTGGACCGCGCGGCGCGGCGTGACACTTCCACAATATTCCACGTTACTCACTACATAACGAGAATAATAATAATTTTTCTTGAAAATATGTTCGATAATAAATTATTAATTGTCAATAGATACCATGAACAGCTTTGAGATATATACAATATACATGATAGTACATACAATGTATCAGTGGCGTACTTAGACCTGAACTTTGGGGGAGGGGGGGTTTAATTTTTAAATTAACATATTGGATGGCGTGACACCTGAACATAAAAAAACATATCGTACATTTTAATAAATTACTAATTTTTATTTGTGGTATTTTTTTTATTGACATGTCATAATAAAATATGTATTGAAGTCTAAAATAACTTAACTTACTACTAAGCCATACATAGAAAAAAAAAAT